AAAATAATCTTTGTAGATCTAATATTAGAATTTGCTCATTCACCCAGAAAAACTGAGTACAAAATACCTAAAACCCATACCCTTGATTTCTAATAGGATTCAAGAACAATTTTAATCCCATGGCGTTTATCTTATATACTCCACAAAAGGAAAACTAGAAAACAAGCATTGAAAAGAGAAATACTACAGCCAAGCAGAATGGTTGACTTAAGTCCATTTCACCAGAACGATTACAATGCTAAAACACTAAACTAAAGAAGCAATTATATCAAGCTCAAATTTGAATTGAGACTGAAATTTATAATGAAAGGAAAAGTACAATAGAAATTCAAGAAGGAGCAATCACCGGAAACCGAGAGAAGGGAAGCAGACGCCATAGCAGGAGAAGAGCAAGAGAGAGGAAGTGGCTTAGGGTTTCCTATCGGCGAATGATCATCGGCGGCGCTTCCAGTATTTAGGAGGAGGAGTAGAATGCGCGGCGGCGAGGAAAGTGAAGTAGAAAGCTAGGGAGGGAAATTTTTGGGTGGGTTTGGATACAGGACCGAGGAAGTTCCGCGGCGTGATAAGGCACACACACTCCGCATTCCATTTTTTGGGGAGAAAAATGAAAATTCCGCATTATTTTACATTTTTACCTTTTCCTTTTGGAAAATGATTTTTGTATAGTTTTTTTATTTTATTTTTTTTACAATTTGACGTATAATTTAAATAATTAATTTTTTTAATTCATATGAAATTCATAATATTAAATACAATCCACTTATTTAATAACATATGAAAATTATATAAAAAAATTATTCTTATAACACAATTTGTTTTTTTTAGCAAAAGAATGGGTAAAAAAAAAAATGTCTGAGCCCGGGTTCGAACCGGGGACCTCTAGTGTGTGAGACTAGCGTGATAACCAACTACACCACCCAGACGATGACGTCCTTCCGGTTCTCAATTTTTGGATTTGTTTTTTATCAACCGATCTATTCGAGTTCACTATTTAAGCCCTCAAACTCTTCTCTTATTTTTTACATTTTTAATTTCAATTTTCAGAAGGGCTATTGAGTTGTGATATTTTTCTTTATAGTGCTTTTGTGAATAATGTATTGTCGAATGAGTGAATGACCATTTTTACTAAGAAATAATATGCATCTTTTTATTCAATATCACATCACATCATATAAAATATTGTAAGAAAACATTATAATTGAATTATTACTTCTTCTTTTTTATAGTAAAGAATTTCGAAAAAGAAAAACTTGGGTTAAGGTACTTTTTTTATTGAGGTGATCAATAAGTCACTATGTATTGAACTTGAATTATTATTATTTTAATTTAGTTATGCCATATACAATGAGAAACCGATTTTTTGAACTTTTATATGTGAAACTGCATGTTTATAATATATAACAAAATACATATTTTTGTAATTTAGATATGAAAATGCATACATTTCCAATCATAAAGGGTAAATGCAATTTTTTCTACCAAATCCCTACATGCTTGACATCACTTTTAGATTTATCATGTGTTTTTAACCAGGAAAACACAGCTTTTGGAAAAAAAATATTTGAAAGTTGTTTTTTAAAAAATGTAAAGAACATTCTTCATGGATTAAAAATATTTTCAGTTGACTTATTTTCTAAATATCTATTGAGTATCAAAGAATGTGAAAAATAATTTCAAAAACTTATTATTTTATGTGAAAAAAAGCAAACCCATAATATATATATATATATATATATATTTAATCATTTATAATTTGAGAAAGGATATTTTTTTTTAAGACGTTAACGAAGGTTGAAATTTTAACCAACAAAATCAAGCGTTTTAAAAATTAGAAGCGAACCAGGAGACCGAAGGCTAGGTTCGCAAACCCTTATTATATTAACAAACCATTGATGCAGAGTCAAGATATAAAAGATCCAAGTTCGATATTCACCCCAGTCAATTTCTTTTTTTCTGTGAGCCATATACGAGTCTTTTCAATTGCAAACGATATATTTATTCATTTCCCTAACCAATTTCAAAAACCAAAGTACGTACCAAACCCATTCATTCTCCCAGCATGAAAGTGAAGACTGCATCTGCAAGGAGCATGGGAAGCAAAGCGAAGGAGCAAATGAAATCGTCAATCTCCAACCTCCGACAAAACCATGTGATCTGTCCTCCTTTTCCTACCCC